TACCTCCATTATCCTGGACAGTTACTCATCAACATCCTAGAGCTGAATGCAATTTTCTCTAGCAAGTCTTAGGAAAACTTAATTCTCACATTTTTTAAATTTTAATTTTTTATTGACACATTAGAATTGTACATATTTATAAGGATATTTGTGACGTTTCGACACATACTATCAAATCCATGTAATTAGTTTACCTATAATTTCAAACATGTATCCTTTTTTATTGTTGAGAACATTTGACTTCTTCTAGCTATTTGAAACTATATATTATTGTTAACTGTAATTATCCCATAGTGTATAGAATACTAGAATTTTTTTTCCTACTGTCTGCTGTGATTTGTTATCCTTTACTAAATCTCTCCCTATACCTGCCTTCTTCCTAGCCTTCCCAGCTGCTAGCATCCTCTATTCCACTTTTAACGTTCAAAAGATCAGATTTTTTCAGCTTCCACATATAAGTGAGAACATGTGGTATTTAACTCTGTTTCTGGCTTATTTTGCTTAACGTACTGTCCTCAAGTTATATCTGTGTTGCTGTGAATGACAAGATTTCATTTTTTTCTGACGGAATAGTATTCCATTTTGTATGTATATATACCACAGTTTGTTTATTCATCCATGTATTGTTTAACATTTAGGTTGATTCCATATCATGGTTATTGTGAATAGTGCAGCAACAAATATGGAAGTGCAGATGTCTCTTTGATATACTGATTTCCTTTCCATTCCTTTAGACAAATTTCCAGTAGTAGAATTGCTGAATCTTATTGTGGGTCTAAATGTTCATAATGCCCAGAGCAATCTACAGATTCAACCAAGTCATGTCAAATAAAATTATATGAAGCCAAAAGCTTCTGTACTACAAAGGAAACAATCAACAGAGTGAAGAGGCAACCCACAGAATGGGAGAAAATATTTGCAAATTATCCACTGGATAACAGATTAATAATCAGTATAGTTCAACTCAAAAGAAAAAAAATACAATTTTAAAATGGGCAAAAGATCTGAACAGACATTTCTCAAAAGAGGACATATGAAGGCCAAAAGGTATACCAAAATATGCCCAACATCAGTAATCATCAGATAAATGCAAATCAAAAGGATGAGATGTATTACCCATGTTAAAATGGCTTTTATCCAAAGGACAGGCAATAATGAACGCTGGCAAGCCTGAAAAGAAAGGGGGACCTTTGGGTAGGAATGTGAACTATTGCAGTCACTAGTGTTCCTTGGTATTTTTCTGGTATTCATTGTGACATTTTCTTTTTCATTTCTGATTTTATTTGGGTCCTCTCTTTTTTCTTAGTTAGTCTAGCTGTGGGTTTGCCAATTTTGTTTCTTTCCAAGAAAACAACTTTTTGTTTTGCTGATATTGTTTCCATTTTATTTCTGCTCTGATATTTCTTCTAATAATTTGTGTTTAGCTTGTTCCTGATGTTTTATTTCCTTGAGATGCATTGTAAGGTTATTTATTTGAAATCTTTCTATTTTTTGATTTAGATCTTTATTGCTAAAAACTTGCTTCTTAATACTAATTTTGCTGGGTCCCATAAGTCTTGGTATGTTGTTTTTAAATTTTCATGTGTTTTAAGGAATTGTTTTTCTTTCTTAATTTCTTCCTTCACCCACTGATCACTCAAGAGCATATTTAATTTTCTCATATTTGTATAGTTTCAAATGTTCCCCCTGTCATTTATTTCTAGTTGTTTCCATTGTGGTCAGATGAGATACTTGACATGATTTTGATTTAAAAATAATTCTGAGATTTATTTTGTTTTCTCACAAATTGTCAGTCCTGGAAAATATTCCATGTACTAATAAAATATGTGTATTTTGCAGCTGTTGTGTAAAATGTAAAATATGGCACAGTTTAAATCTGTGCCATTGATGATCTGTCTGGATAACCTGCCTAATGCCAAGAGTGGGGTGTTCGAGTTCCCAATGTTCTATTGGGGTCTATCTCTCCCTTTACATTGAATAATATTTGTTGTATAGATATGAGTGCTCTTGTATTGGGTACATAGATATTTACATTTGCTATATTCTCTTGCTGAATTGATATGATTATTATATAATGGTCTATCTTTGTCTCTTTTTATAACTTTGGGTTTGAAGAATCTTTCGTTTCACATAAGAATATCTATTTCTGCAAATTCTTCTCCTGTTCTAATGGGGATTCCCTTGTATGCCACTTGACACTTTTGCTGTTTTAAACATTCTCTGTCGAACTTGTGACAATTTGACTACAATTGTCTCAGAGAGGACCTTTTTCAGATGAATCTATTTGGGACTTTTAGCTTCTTGGATTTGGATGTCCATTTCTTTCTACTTGAGACATTTCGAGCTATTATTTTAAGTATGTTTGCTACAGCTTTTCCCTTCTCTTTTTGGAATATTCATATTTGTGAACATTTGTTCACTTTAGGGTGTTGTATAAATTCTGTGGGCTTTCTTCATTCTTTTATATTCTTCATCTTTTTTCTACCTGATTAATTCAAAATACTTGTCTACCTATCTTCAGTTTCATATATATATATTTGGTCTATCTAGTCAGCTGTCGAAGCTCTCAACTGCAGTTTTCATTCAGTGAATTATTAAGTGGTAGGATTTCTGTTTGGTTCCTTTTAAAATATCTATCTCCTTGTTGAATTTCTCATTCAAATAATTCATTATTTTCCTGATTTTGTTGAATTGTCTATCTGTATCCTCTACATCTCATGGAGTCACCTTAAAAATGTTATTTGATTTTTTTCTGGCATTTTATGTATTTCTTTATGATTGGGGCCTATTACTGGAGAATTACTGCATTCTTTTTGAGTTACTACCTTGTACTTTTCCTTATTTTTTCATTTTTTTGGGTCCATACATTGATTTCTATGCATCTGGTGGAAAAGTCACCTCTTCTGATTTCACAGAATAGGTTTTGTAAGGAAAGACATTCATACAGATAGATCTTGGGGTTTCATTTGAGTGAAGTGTGCATTGGCTTTGGTTCTAGGTGTATACAATAGTGTTGTCTCTGTGTAGTTTCCTCAGCTGTAATATATGCTAGTGACATTTCCAAGTGTCTCAGTGTCCTAGACTGTGAGAGTTTCAAGTGGCAATGGCACAGTTTTGCTGGAGTGCACTCAGTAGGCTATTTCTCAGGTTGAGAATTGCATGCATGCACACACTGGGTTGGCCAACTTGGGGTCTGACTCACTGGGGTGGTGGCCACAGGGCTGTTTCTCCTGTCAGAGATTCAGACTTAAGGCTGTTCAGCTGGTCTGAAGGCGTGTCTGCCTGGGATGGCCCATGGGCTCTTTTTGAGAACCTGAGCATGAGTATGTGGCCATTGCACAGGACTGGGGCATGTCTGCATGGTGTGGGGGATCCATGGAGCTGTTTTTCAGGCACTGAATATAGGTGTATAGCCACTCTACCAGTCCAGGAGTGTGTCAGCTGCTCAGTAGCTCGAAGATCTCTCTAGTTTTGGGGAGGTCCTCATGCAGTGCTTTGGCCTGCTCAAGGATACGTTCACCCCAGGTGGGACTGCCAAATTGTTCCTCTAGCAGAAAGTGCAGGCAGCAAGGATTGCTTTTCCTGCTGTGCAGGACCAGAGTCACAGTTGATTCTGGTCCCAGGGTAGGAGACATGCAGTGACTATTGGCCTCCAGAACATGGCACACTCCAGAAGGGGCTCTGGTCTCAAGATGGTGCTGTGCTGCAGCAGCTTGGCTCATAGAGGGTGGGTGGAAGATGGGAAGTGCTTATCTTGTGCTCCTAATCTAGAGTGAGGCAGCTGCATAAATTCATAGCAGCTCCCCAAATGAGGCTCATGACTTTCCAGCACTCTGGGATTCTCCTGTAGTAAGAACTGTAGGTTTTTGAAGTGGTGGTGGGAGCTGGTGGAATGGCAAGTCCCTCATGACTCTGGGCTGATCCAGGTGGAAGCAGTCAAGCTGCAGTAACAGGTACCTCCATCGCACTCTTGTGGGCTTAAAGTCATCACAGATGCATCTCCACTATCTCACTGTGCTCCAGCTCCTTCCTTTCAACACTCCAGTCAAATGATAGCTGTTTATTTGCTGCCTTGCCTTGGTTCTTTTTCTGTGTATGTGGAGGTAAAGAAGGAGGGATGAGTGTCAGATGCCTCTAGTCAGCCATCTTGCCAACATCACTTTTTTTTTCTCTCACATCCTTTATTTTAGACACTACTCCTATCAATGCAGCTGTAGAAATATAGATATATATTTTAAGAAAACATTTTTTAGATTGACACAGACCCATTGACCAGGATTTTTGTGATATTCTGTTAAAATTACATATTCCATGTTTTCTCAATTTTGTTTTAAGTAGATCAGATGTCTAGCCTAAAGTCCAGTATATCACATTTATTACATTTTGCTGATCAATGGAATTATCACCTTAATAAATCTAAAAACAACCTAAAAACAACTGCTTCTTTAGTAATTACTTCTAGAATTTTGATTGAAATTCATTATATCTTTGGGCTTCTGGCTGATATACAATCTTTTTTTTTGATAAACTGATACCTCTTCTATTGAGACAGAAGAAATATTGGCGTGCTGCCCCACTTCTAGGTCACATCTAGGAACTCGTTCATGAAGAAAATCACATTAATATTTGGAGCCCTGCAATTTTCAATAGTAACTTGGAAATATTGACACTCAGGGATTCATATCGTGAAACCATATTAAACTACAAAGTAAGTTACATCCCGTGATGGGAAAGGCAGATAATGTAAACCTAGGAGTTGATATGGCTTGGCTCTGTGTCCCCACCCAAATCCCATGTCAAATTTTAATTCCCAGTCTTTTGAGAGGGACCTGTTGGGAAGTGATTGTATCACGGATGCAGACTTCCCCCTTGCTGTTCTCATGATAGTATGTAAGTTTTCACAAGACCTGGTTGTTTAAAAGGTTATAGCACTTCCCCTTCACTCTCTGTCTTCTTTTCTGTCACAGTAAGATGCGCTTGCTTCTCCTTTGCCTACTGCCGTGACTGTCAGTTTCCTGAGGCCTCCACTGCTATGCCGCCTATACAGCCTGTCAAACTGTAAGTCAATTAAACCTTTTCTCTTTATAAACTATACATTCTCAGTTCTTTATAGCAATGTTGGAATGAGATAATATAGGAGTCAAAGGAAAGATGATGTTGCTTTTATAGAAAGCCTTCCTTAGACAACTCTTCTTGTAGGCTTTAATTGGCAAGGATCCTGGACACTAGAGAGACCAATATTGGTATAAACAGTGCCTCAGTTTTAATGACAAAATGAGAGATATTGATAATTGTAATAATAATTGTACCTAAAAATTAAGGTACAAATGCCAAACTCAAGTTAGATAATCTGCTGAAAGGAGGTTTATTTTAGGAATGCTTTGTGTATATAATGATTTGAGGATGAAGGCGTCTGTGGAACTTCAGAATGAGTCTTCAGGTATAGCATCCCAGATCTGTCCAGCATGATAAATTCTGTCATAAGCAATATCAAAATTAATGAATTATATCAGTATATGTAGACTAGCTGTAAGTACTTAATTTAGAGTCTGACTTCTATTCCTACATATCCTTCTTAGTTTCTAAAAGTTCTTGTACAAGTGACTCATTTTTCAGAGCCTTAGTTTTACTAGGTGTGAAATGGAAATATCTACTTTCTCTGTCTCTCCAGTTGTTTTGTGTTGTTTGGTTTTGTTGGGAGATGAGGTCTTGCTCTGTTACCCAGGCTGGAGTGCAGTGGTGTGAATATAGCCCACTGCAGTCCTGAACTCCTTGACTCAAGGGATCCTCCCATGAGGATCATGCCTACTGAGTAGCTGGGACTACAGGCATAAGCCATTGTACCTAGCCCTCCCACACTTTAATAAGGATCACTTGAAAGTATTTTGCTCAACAAATGTGACCATTTATGCTTCTCATTAAGATTCATCAGAAATAGAATGGATCTAAGATTCCTAGTATAGCAACAAAAAAGTAAATAAAAAATGTTAGAAACTTCTCTGATTGAAGAGGTCATTACAGCTAATTCTCTGGTGAATCTGTTTATTATTATGGCCCTCTCAAGTGATATTTTATGAGGCTGCTGAGCTTTTTTGGCTGCCACATCTGAGGGAAAACAAAAGGTATTATGTACACTTAAGCCATGCAATCAGCATTGTCTTGAATCAATATCTCATGTTTAAAATTGTCTCTATTTCCAGTGAGAAGTCTTTCAAGCAGGGGATGTAAGAAACTTAAGGAATTTCATACATTTTAGTTTTACACGTAATTTTTGTTTTATATGCTTTTAAAAATTTACATTTGTAAACAAAATATGTTTTCACCAGTAGTTTCTGAAATTCTCTAGATAGCACTGCACAGTGATGAGTTTGTCCTATGAAATAAATGTAAAAATACAATAAAAGTGAACTTCAGAATATACACTTAGTGTTTTCCAAGTAAAAGATTGGAGAAAGATGTTTTGTTGTGATACAAAGATTACAGGTAAATTTTATTTGGAAATAGTAACTAATGTCAGTTATATAAAATGTTTGGAGTCATTGTATATGTTGATTACTTTAAGGAAAAAATTATAATTAGCAAAACAAAACAAAACAAAAACCCTGTCTTTGGATTAGAATGGATGGTGTTGAACAATGACAACACATGGACACAGGGAGGGAAGCATCACATACTGGGATTTGTTGAGGGGGAAATAGAGTAGGGACAGCAGGGGGTGGGGAGTTGGGGAGGGATAACATGGGGAGAAATGCCAGATATAGGTGATGGGGAGGAAGGTAGCAAATCACACTGCCGTGTGTGTACCTATGCAACAATCTTGCATGTTCTTCACATGTACCCCAAAACCTAAAATGCAATTTAAAAATGGGGAAAAAATGTAAATCAATAAAAATAATTTCATGTATCTTTCTAGAAAAAGCTATTTTTATATTTTGATATAAAATGGGTTATGGATAACTTTAACATTTTAATATAAGCAAATGATATTGAGGATACTTTGTAAAATGCATAGTATTTGTTTAAATGTATGTTTTTATAGCAGCAAAAGTCCAGACAATTTTATAGTTTTTAATGATTACTGTTATTTTCATCAACTAAATTACATGTCTTTATGGACATAAGTTTTCATTTATTTTCAGACTTTGCTCTGGGAAGTCTCATATTATTGAAAGGTGTGTTTTGATGAACTAATTTGTTTGCTTTCCTGTCAGTTTTTTGGGAGTAGCAAAAAATAATATGCATGAACTCAGAAAATGAAAGTGAGTTATCTTTGAGAAGTAGAGGTTTAAAATTGGAATGCAAGTGATTATTTTCCTATGCTTTGGTACTGGGGAAAACCTGTGCTTTAGCTTTATAGGCTTTTCTTATTTGGCATGGCAGAGTCTTAATAATTTCTAATTTTATTTGAAACTTCTATAAGAGAGAAAGAGAAAACAATTCAGATAATTTGTAGAAAGTCACAAAGTTTTGGGTATTTTGAATTTTTTCTCGATTCCTTTTCTGAAACAATCATAGAAAGCTAGAAACAGAAGGAAACTGAAATGTCAGTCAATAAGACCCCAAACCCTCATCCTCCATGAAGAAGAAGAAGAAAGAAGAAAGAAGAAGAAACAAAGGTTAATTACCCATAGATCAGTCAAATTATCTATGCCTCCTCATTCTTACTATAATAGGAGTCCTGGGTTAAAATGCCATGGGTTGATGAAAGAAGAAACAGTCATTACTGTGTTGGCCCAGTCCCCAGTGAGCATTTGGAGGCACCCAGGAGGCTGGTAAATGCCTGCTAAAAAAGTGAATCACAAAAGATGATCTGGAGGAAAAGGACAGCATTGAAGTAAAGGACTGGCTTATTCTCTGTCAGCAGACTCTCACTTTAGTCAGTATCAAAGACATGATGGCTACTTTAACTATTTTGTCTACCCTTGTATTACATTTAATATACTTTTTTTGTTTATACTGGCATTATAGTGCTGCCCAGGGTTAATGTAGATCATTATTTTAAGCCAGAAGAAAAAAGGGACCAATTTATGTGTGTTATTTTAGTAAAATGTGATTATAATAGTGTTTCCATCTGGAATGTCCTACTCATCTTTCAGACCTGTCTCATATACTGGGCTTGGAAAGAAGACCAGTACAGCCTAACTAGAAGATAATTTGATAATATAATTCCAAAGATTAATATGTCTAGAAAGTTAGACTGGATCCCTTGACTCACATTGAATAATTGCACTTGTAGATATTTATAACAGTGTAAAAGTCTTCTTATTTCTTCACATCTTCTCCAGCATCTCTTGTCTCCTGATTTTTTAATGATTGCCATTCTAACTGGTGTGAGATGGTATCTCGATGTGGTTTTGATTTGCATTTCTCTAATGACCAGTGATGATGAGCTTTTTTTCATGTTTGTTGGCTGCACAGATGTCTTCTTTTGAAAAGTGTCTGTTCATATCCTTTGCCCACTTTTGGATGGGGTAGGTTGTTCTTTTTTTTGTAAATTTCCTTAAGTTCTTTGTAGATTCTGGATATTAGCCCTTTGTCAGATGGCTAGCTTGCAACAATTTTTTCCCATTCTATTCATTTACAGTTCACTGTATGATTGTTTCTTTTGCTGTGCAGAAGTTCTTAAGTTTAATTAGATCCCATTTGTCTATTTTGGCTTTTGTTGCCATTGCTTTTGGTGTTTAAGTCATGAGGTCATTTCCTATGCCTGTGTCCTAAATGGTAGGTTTTCTTCTAGGGCTTTTACTCTGTTAGGTCCTATATTTAAATCTTTAATCCATCTGGAGTTAATTTTAGTGTAAAGTGTAAAGAAGGGGTCCAGTTTCAGCTTTCTGCACATGGCTAGCCAGTTTTCCCAACATCATTTATTAAAGAGGGAACCCTTTCCCCATTGCTTGTTTTTGTCAGGTTTGTCAAAGATCAGATTGTTGTAGATGTGTGGCATTATTTCTGAGGCCTCTGTTCTGTTCCATTGTATCTATATAGTATCCATATAGATACTATATCTCTGTTTTGGTACCACTACCATGGTGTTTTGTGTACTGTAGCTTTGTAGTATAGTTTCAAGACAGGTACTGTGATGCCTCCAGCTTTGTTTATTTGCTTAGGATTGTCTTGCTATGCAGGCTCTTTTTGGTTCCATATGAAATTTAAGGTGTTTTTTTCCCCAATTCTGTGAAGAAGGTTGATTGTAGCTCGTTGGGTATAGCATTGAATCTATAAATTACTTTGGGCAGTATGGCCATTTTCATGATATTGATTCTTCAACCATGAGCATGGAACATTTTTTTCAACTGTTTATGCCCTCTCTTATTTCCTTGAGCAATGGTTTGTAGTTCTTCTTGAAGAGGTCCTTCACATCCCTTGCTAGTTGTATTCTTAGGTATTTTACTCTCTTTGTAGCAATTGTGAATGGGAGTTTGCTCACGATTTGGCTCTGTTTGTCTGTTATTGGGTTATAGGAATGCTTGTGATTTTTGCACATTAATTTTTTTTTTGTATCCTGAGACTTTGCTGAAGTTGCTTATCAGCTGAAGGAGATTTTGGGCTGAGATGTTGGGGTTTTCTAGATATACAATAATGTCACCTGCAAATAGAGACACTTTGACTTCCTCTTTTCCTAATTGAATACCCTTTATTGCTTTTTCTTGCTTGATTGCTCTGGCCAGAACTTCCAATACTATGTTGAATAGGAGTGGTGAGAGAGGGCATCCTTGTCTTGTGCCAGTTTTGAAAGGGAATGCTTCCAGTTTTTGCCCATTTAGTATGATACTAGCTGTGCGATTGTCATAACTAGTTCTTATTATTTTTGAGATACGTTCAATTGATACCTAGTTTATGGAGAGTTTTGAATATAAAGGGCTGTTGAATTTCGTTGAAGGCCTTCTCTGCATCTATTGAGATAATCATATGGTTTTTGTCTTTGGTTCTGTTTATGTGATGGATTGCATTTATAGATTTGCATGTGTTGAATCAGACTTGCATCCCAGGGATGAAGCCAACTTGATCATGATGGATAACTGTTTTCATGTGCTGTTGGATTAGGTTTGCCAGTATTT